GCTTTAAGACTCAGAGGCCAGAAAGCTCTTTGCAGGGTATGGCTCTTTCCTCGAGTGTGGTCATAGCCGGCCCTGCGGCTCTGCAGCCCGCGAGGAGCGCTGCCCGTACAATCTATAAGAACCCATCAGCCTTGAGAACTTCCGTGGTTTCTGAGTCACTGTCAGGCCATTTCAGCTTCCAAGCAGAGACTCCCAGGGAGAACTCACCATCTAGGCCTTTTCTGTCCTCCTCTGAATAGGGACGGGGAGAACATGGCACCCCACAGCAGGCCCTGGCTCCCCTTCCGTCTCTGCACGGAGTCCCAGCATCACAGCCAGCCCCCGCGGGAAGGATGCTCTAGGTCACCCAACTCAGGTGCTCCAGACCCGCGCCTGCTTCTCTGTCCAGTGTCTTGTCTACAGATCCTGCTGGAGGCCTCTCTAGTGTCACCATGAACTGGACCTGGCTAATGCAGGGAGGAAGGGTAAAGAGGGACCGGAAGGCATGCTAGAGGAGTAGGAGGGTTTCAGTCATATGTGTGCTGTCCTGGCGAGTGGAGAGATTCCCTCCTTCTCCCCAATTCCCCCCCTCACATCATGGGAACTGCCCCAGGTCTGTCCTCCTTCCCTTTGCCTTTCCCCACAGCAAAGGGGGTGTGTTCCACTGGCCCCAGCTATTTCTTGTTCCTTTTATCTTGGAGTTGCAATTGCATCTAAAAAACCCTGTTGTTTTCACCCAGGTGTCCTGTCTCTTCCTCCTGGACCCATTTCCTCTTTTCGTGAGAGTGCACGTGGGCAAGGGTGGGTGGCTGGAAAAATCGGGCTGGGAGACACAGCCTTGTGGCTGAATGAAGGGCAATGTTTCCTTCTTGCTTTAAGCATTGACGCTTCTGAAAGGGGTACACACCCCAATTCCTATTGCTAACAATGGCTGCCTATATTAACCCAATGCAGAGGCCGTGCTCTGTCCAGTGCTTGGTTGGGGTTGGGGTGCGGCTCAGGAAGGCTGGGGGGGTACTGGGTAAGAACGTCCAGGTTTTTATCCCTGCTCTGCCACTTCCCACCTCTGTGAACTTGGGGGAGTTGCTTAATCCCTCTGGGCCTCAGATGTCTCCGATAATGGATGCTGATAACAACACTCGTCCCCACAGAACTGTCATGGGATTTAGTGAGAGAATCAGCACAAAGCATTTAGAATGGTGCCTGATAGGTGGCCAGCTCTCAATGAATATCGGGTCCTATTGATAGGTGTTATTATACCTCTCCGGGGCAGGGCATGCCTCGGTGTTGACAGCATTCCTCAGCCTGGTCCTTAGCTTTGGAGACAGACAAGTCGTCCGTGCACCCTGGGTATGCTGTGCCAGCAAAGTTTATGTGAGAAGTCAAGTTACCAATAAATGGTTTCTTGGTGAACACGGAGTTAGAGCTGGGTGGGGGGCAATGGGCAGCAGGAGGCTCATATGGCCTCATTTCTATCACAGGAGCTGGCCCAGAAGCTCCCTGTGGTTGGTCCGAGAGCCCTGCTCTCCCGCACCTGGAAGGGAGGCCCAAGCCGGTTGCAACATCTGCTGACTCCAGCAGCCCCCGGGGCTGAGCTGTTTGACCTGACTGGCTGGAGCAACGCCCTCTCCCCAATAGCTTTCGGGTATCCTTTCCGATTCACCCTTGGTTAGAGAAACGTCTTCCCAGCGTAAGGAGGCCTCATCATCATTCAGGGCCACGGAGAGGCTTGCCAGCCCTGTCAGAACTGCTGAGCACAGCAGGAGACACCCTGAAGGGCCCAGCTGTCAGACTCCCGCCCCTTCTGCCCCCTCTGGCCCAGGAACAGATGTCCTTCCTTCCCACAGCTCACAGTACAGGCAAACAGGCCCCTGCTACGGACAAACCTACTCAAGTGGGGAGGTCACCCTGGTTACACTAATGTTTGTTTGGGTGCCGCCTAGAGATCAGTTCTCTGGGGTGGGACTTCTAATACAGATGATTGAGCTGATGCATTGTGTAGTAATTTTTCCCCCCTCATTTATTTCTTTTTTAGGTTATGAGCACTTGGCAATCCTCCTAAAATATGACTTCATAATTTCTTTTGTTTTGCAGCGATTAAATACTTTTTGTTAACAATAGCTGCATTTGTTAATTAGCTAATTGTACTAATTGTGTGATTTTCTTGCATTATCTTTAATCCATACAACAACCCCATTCCGATTTTAGAGATGAAGAGACTGGAGCTCAGAGGAATCTGTAAAATCAGTAATTGGCCCCAAAATCTGTGTTTTTTTTTTTCCTTTTTGACATTACCTCAAGATGATGGGTATTTTTCTCCCCAGTTGAAATGGAAAATATTTGCATTTACCTTTTGTCTTCCAAAACAAATTCTTGAAACCTCATTGAAGACCAAACCTGGAAAAACCAGACATTCTGACTGGCATGAGCCCAGATTTTGCAAGGACAAAAAATTCATGTTTTGTTTCATTTGTCCATTTGCTTGGTATCCCCGAAACCCAAGTCCTTTGTCAAATGGGAACCATGGACATCAGCAGCAGAATGCAATGGTGAGAGGCGATGATGTCTATGGGGCAGTGGCCAAGGATGGACAGGAGAGATGTTAAGGGGTAGAACCAATAGACGTGATTAATTGGTATGGGCTGTTGTCCAGCACCTTCACTTTAGGAGGTCACCTCAGCCTCAGGCGTTGCCATTGCCTTCGCCGTGTCTGCTCCATCCAGCTGGTTCCTACACGTTCTTGCTCTCTGACAAGGCTCCATGCCTCTGAAAGCGTTGCCTGGCTTCTGCCTGGGAAAACCATTTCATCACTCCAGGAATCTTGGGTTTCTTTGTCTGTCTCCCCAACTAGACAATGGGCTCCTTGAAGGAGGGTGCTGAATCTCTTCTCTCAAAATCCCAGCCTCTGGCACAAAGCCTCAAGCACCAGAAATGTGTGTTGAGAGCGGATCAGTAAATTAAAAACGATGCAGGGTGAAGAGGAAGAAAGGAGGTAAGAAGAGAAAGAATGAGGACAGAGGTGCGCCATCAGACCTTATTGTGATCACTGCTGTCTCTGATTAATCCTCTTCGGAGAGAGGCATGAATGATCCTAATAGCACAAGCCTCTGCCAGCTGCCAGAATTCGAATCAAATGAAATGGGAATGGCTCAGAGAATATTCTAACATTCTGTCCCAACAGTTTCCACGAGACTGACACATCACGAGAGGCAGCAGCTTCTGCAGACACTGAGGTGGGTGTGGCCGTCAGGCACTAAGAGCCGAGAGAGAGGTAACAGGACAAGATGGACAGAGCCCTGACAGCCCTTCCCACGCCCTGAGCTCCAGCCCTGATGCACAGAGAGCCTGAGAGCTGGGCCTCTCCGAGGGCTCCAGGTGATTTACATGACAAAATCTGTTTGCTTTGACGTTTCCTGTTCCTTCGTTGCTCCTTCCACACATACTGATCCCCCAGGTCCTCAGGAGACCAAAATGTAAGCCCGAGCAGGAGATAGGGCCTGAATTAATTTCAGTGCCTTTGTGTCTTGCAGTAAAATAGAAAATCTTGCATCTTATGTCCTGTTTGTCCTGGTGTGCTATAGTTTCTTATTTTTTCCCCCATCAGTTAATTTTTGGGGAAAAAAAAGACTTGTCTTCTTTAATGTTCAAATATTCTATGTTAAGTCTAGTAGTGTCAGCACCTAGGTTTGGGAGTCAGGCAGATATTGCCACTTTGCAGAGTGATCTTGGGCAAGTTCCTCCGAAGCCCTCCCTCCCAAGGCTGGCTCTATCTACGTTCCTGGAAACTGGAGAACCCAGTCCCATCTGAAGTCTGGCTACGGCCTTTCATACCTGCAGCAACAAACCCACCTCATATTTCTTTTATGACAATTACTGTAATTAAAGTGCTACAGTCTTCCTCTCAGTGGCAGGGCAGGCAAAGAGCTTGCTCAAGGCTGTGTAACTCATAAGTACCTGGGGCGTAGGTCCAGGGGGTGCTCCTACCCCATGCGGTCAGGTGGTTGCACTTTCTCGATCCTTTGTGTTTTGGTAGCGATCTGGAAAGTACTCCCTCCTCTGGCCTTCCACTGTCCTCACCTCTTACTTCTTCCTCATTAAAAAGAAAGGTGGGCTTGGAATAGTGTGAGTCCCTGGGATCCCTGAAACAAAGGTGGGGATCCGGGAGGCTGGGCTTGGGAGGTCTACCGACTGCATGAATGTGCAAGAAGCTCTTCCCCATTTCAGCTTTTGAGGAAGCAGTGGCCACACAGGCCAAGGAAGCTGGCAGCATCATCTGCTGTGGGCCAGAATGATAGCAACACAGCTGGTTCGGCTGGCTATCTCACGCTGATCACGGGCTTGGATGGGCAATTATACATGTCTTTGATTAATAAAAAATGGGGCAATGGATGAATACTTAATCAACACAGTCTGGTGGGGAGGCTCTTTCAGAACCTGGGCTGGGGATGAGGCAGGGAGTAATCAAAGGGGCCCTAGGAGGTGAAAAGGCAGGGCACCCACAGGGGGTGGTTCTGGAAAGCTGTCCAGTGCTGGTCTTCGGGCCTCTGATGGAGCCCGTGCTGGCAGATCTGCTGTGCTTGCGATTCGCTGGCCGTGCTGGGAGCGTGAGATGGAGGGAGGGAGTTTAGCTGGTGGGCAAACGGGAAAAATGTGTTCTGTGCCCACCCACGTGGTCAAAGAGAAGCACATTGAATATGGGTGGGGGTGTGCGCGCGCGCATGTGCGCGCGCCTGCAGGTGGCAGTGTGTCCTCGGTGTGTGCTGTTTGTGGTCCGTTTGGTTCCTGTCTGTGTGTGCAATGGTATTAAAACTAAGTTGGCTGGGGTGGAAGGAGAGGCCAGGGAGCTGGGAGGCTGAAAGCGCGGCAGGAGAGACATGCGCTGCTGCTGGGGTTAGAGACCGGAGAGAACCCAATGGTGAGAGAGACTTAGCGGAGAAGGAGGAAGTGATGGAGAATGGGGGTTGTGGAACCTCCCTGACACCACCCCGCGGTCCTGGCCCTTCCGGTGGAGCAGGGCAGAGGCAAGGGATAGGGCGGGGCAGCGAGGAAGGGCGCGAAGGCGAATCGCGGAACCTCAAAGAGCTGGGACCGCTGGGAGAGCTCGGGAGGAGACCGCTGGTAAGGCGCCGGGGAGGGGCTGGGCGCCGGCCGCGTGGTCAAGGGGACAGGGGGACAGGGGGACAGGGGACGGGGTGGGGGCGGTGGACAGTGAGGCCGCTGACCCCTGGGAGCCTCTGTGGGGCCACCCACCCGCGCTGTAAGGGTGCAGGCTGGGGGTGCGGGCTGGGCCCCTTGGCGCGCTTTCCTGGCACATGGCAGGGCAATGAGTGGCGGCGGGGAGGAGACATGGGGAGTCCAGGGAGGAAGGGGTATTTTGCAGTTGGGATATTTTGGGCATAAGACTGGCACACGTTGTGACTGACTAACCCATGTGACCGTGGACAGGTTGACAAAAATCCCCTGGAGTTTTGGTTTCCCTGTCCGTAAGGGGAGGCTAATGGAACACCAGTTTGCTAGATTGTTACCACGATTTGTGAGCACACAAAAAAAGTCCTTTCACCTCGGTGACTGGCATGGAGACACCGCTGTCATTTTTTTCGTGGACAGTCCCCAGAATTGGGCCCAGTCCCCCTTCCCCACCTGCTGCCAACGGTGCTGGAATGGAGAGGCTTTTTGCAGCTGCTTCTAACAGCTGGCCTGGCTCGCCAACCCACAGAAAAGACTTTGTCCACCTCTGCCTTTCCCATGAGCCCCCTGTACCCAGCAGCGTCTGCCTCCTTTTACAGGATCCAGACAGGCATTCACCAGCAGTTTCTGTCGTAGCCGGAAACAGCCAGGACCGGAGAGCTCCGTGAAGGGAACGGCCTGCCAGGGAAATTTTCCAAGTGCTCCAGTGCCAGTCCTCGCCACTCCTGGGATCCGCCTGGGAGGCCTCGGGTGCCCGTGGCGTTGGAAGGTCTGCTGTACTTCAGGCCATGCCAAGCCAGGGACGCCCCCTGCATGTGGCCACCCTGCTGACGGGGCTGCTGGAATGCCTTGGCTTTGCCGGCGTCCTCTTCGGCTGGGCATCCCTGGTATTTGTCTTCAAAACGGAGCATTACTTTGAGGAGCTATGTGAACCGAGTGCTGGGCTGATGGGCAATGCCACGGGCCACGATGGTAAGGGAGAGATGACTCCTCTAGGAAGCGGGGCCTGGCTCCTAGGTGGTGGGAAAGAGTAGGAAGGACTTAACCTCCTGCCCACCCTGCCAGCCGTTCTGTGGTGAAAGGAGGGGATCATTGGCCAGCCTTCCTCTCTGTCCCACCCTTAGTCTAAGGGGTGCCTGGGGAGGGAAGTACCAGCTTTGGAGGGGTAATTAGGGGCAGTCACATTTCGACTCACCTAAGGGAAAACTTCCCACCACTCAAGCTGTTGGCCCATCTGCCCTGGGCTTCTGAGCTCCTCCTTTCTCTCCTCCAGACTGCAAAGCCCAGGATGAAAGGTTCTCCCTCATCTTCACCCTGGCGTCCTTCATGAACAACTTCATGACCTTCCCCACGGGCTACATCTTCGACCGTTTCAAGACCGCTGTGGCCCGCCTCATAGCCATGTAAGTCTGGAAGGCCCAGCCTGGGCACAGGCGGGCAGGAGGGGTCCCTCTGGCAGCAGCCTCGCCTGGAGGGAAACCCGGGGCAGGCCGCTGGGCAGCTCTTCCAGGCCCTGCCCCAGCAGCGCTGTTACAAACAGTCCAGGGAGTGGATCGCCTTGCACCCCTACTTCCCTTTCCTCACTCCCTCCTTCCGCTCCGTGTGAGTGTGTGTTCGCCATGATGCTGAACTGAACAAGAGCCTAGGCCTACTTCCTGGGAGGGCAGGCCTGGCCCAGGGTTGTCAAAGTAGGAATACCTCACATTGTCACTCTGCCTTCACCCTGGGGATCCTTGTCCAAATCTCCTGCAAGGCCTCACACCAGGGGGCTCAGGCGTAATCCTCCTCCTCCTTACCCTCCATTATTCCCACAAAGGCTTAGGACAGAAGTCAGGGCGGGCCAGGCACTTGATCTTGCTCACACAGGTTGCCACTGCAGCTGGCCGCGGTCAGCAATGAGCAGTGGCCTGCTGGGGGCTGATCGGACCTGAAGCCAGCACCTCCTGGCAGGTATGGGAGACATTAGTTGTCAGATGACGGGACTGGAGGGCAGTCTGGGCCAGGACATAGCCGGAGAGTAAGCTCCGTGTTCTCTAGGCATTTGGGGGCATGATAACTTCATCTCACTTTATTGGTCTCTGGCTCCCTGTCTCCTTCTCTTCCCTCCCCTTCCTTTGCCGCTTCCTCTTTTCCAGCCTTACTTAGCATGTTAAGAAAGTCTCAGTATTACATTCTGTGTTTCTTCTCTACTTTCACACAGAATGCTTCACTTCTGACACTTCTGGTCACCAAATGTGTGAGTTTTTTTCCCCACACCAAGCAATTCTGTGACACCAGCTGGGCGTTCTACAATGTAACTCAATTCTGACATTTTCTGCAGGGAGACAGTGTCAGATCTCACAAGTAAGGGCTCAGTCCCATGAAATTGCCCCCCATTTCATATATCTCAGGTGGTACGTCCCCCGTGTGGAGGGAGGAGAAAATTTCCCCTCTTTCCATTCTTAGTTTTTCTGGCTGGTCTAATAATCTAATCAACATGAGGCAGATTAACAGGAGAAAATATCCATATTTATTTATTTATAAAAGATTTCATTTATTTATTTTTAGAGAGAGGGCAAGGGAAGGAGAACAAGGGGGAGAGGAACATTGATGTGTGGTTGTCTTTTGCACACCCCCAGCTGGGGACCTGGCCTGCAACCCAGGCAAGTGCCCTGACTGGGAATTGAACGGGTGACCTTTGGTTTGCAAGCCGGCAACCAGGGCAAAAATAACCATATTTAATTACATATACACATACAGGGGTTCCATAAGAATATGGAGCCCAAAATCAGGCAGTTGAGGCTTACCTGTCTTCTTGAGCTAAGGAGGAAGGAGGATGGGTAGTGGTTCGGGACTTCAAAGGGGAGGCAGACAATTCACATGGAGGTGGAAAAGCAAATGTTTGGTAAAAAATGTTTGCTGGACCATCTTACCAATGGGACACAGAGGGACTTTCCAATTAAATAACCTTGCTAGGCCCCTTCCTCCCACACACTAGTTCAGGTTAAACTGTAGTTATCTGTGACGATGCCTCCTCTCCTGGAGCAGGTCCTCTAATTTTTTTTAGGTCATTAGGAGGAAGGTCAAAAGTTCTTTCTGAGTTTCCTGGTTCTTAAAACAACCAGCTTAAAATAATCAATGTCCTTCCCTGACTGACGTGGCTCTGTTAGTTGGGCGTCCGTCCCAAAAAGGGAAAGTCACCGGTTCAATTTCCAGTCAGGGCCCAGGCCCTGGACTGGGGCATGTGCAAGAGGCAACTGGTTGATGTTTCTCTCCCTCTCTTTTCCCCTCCCTACCCTTCCCTCGAAGAGTAAGTAAATAAAATCTTTTAAAAAATTCTTTAAAAAAAATAATCACTACCCTAAAGAAGCATATTTTGGGTGGCAAGCTTTGTTCTCCTTGACCAGGTCACCCCCTACTTTTTGTCCAACTTGGCTACAGATCAGAGGTCCCCATGGTGTCCTCCAGATTTCATTAATTGGTAGAACAGCTTACAGAACTCAGGGACACCCTTACTTATGCTGACTAGTTTATTAAAGGACATGAGAAAGGAAACAGATAAACAGTGTGATGAAGAGATACGTATTAGCCATTCTCAGGAAACATTCAGGCAAAGGAAATACAGCTTCTGTACATAAAGCTTCTGTCCCAGTGGAGTTGGGGAGCATCGCCCTCCTGGTATTGGGGTTCCATGGACGCTTCCTCACATAGGCATAATAGATTACTAACTCTGTGTCTAGCCCCTCCCCACTTTCCAGACTAGTGTCAGGAACATGTCTGAAAATTCCGAGCTTCTAAACATGGCTCAGTCTCTTTTGGTGACCAGTCCTTATCCAGGAGCCATCCAGCATTTCTGAACAAAAGATGCTCAAGTGCGCTTACCACTTCACTTAGGAATTTACAAGGGTTTTTGGGGCCCCGTGTCAGGGGCTGGGGACAAAGACCAAATATACATTTCTTGTTATAAAATCATAGTATCACAGCGCATCCCCTGGTGTGGGAGCATGGATTCCTTATGGCAAAGCAATCATAGAGTTCAAAAGATATGGCACATGACTAGCCCTATGCAGTCATTAATAACTGTCCGGTCCATCATCATATCCTGTGACGATGTCTCCCAGGGCTACTCAGGTCTGCAGCTTTCTATTCGATCTCATCCAGTTCCAAAAGCAGGAGTGGTGTCAGCAATTTATGTCTTCACGCTTTTAGGCATTGGGGATAATTGAGCCAAGAGAGAACATCATCTCTTGCTCTGAGCCTCCTTCGAGGTGTTAATGTAATACTGGGTTTCCTTCACTCCACAATGCACTTACTCAGCCTCTTACCTTTCGTTAGTATTCCTCCTGCTCTTCATTCGTACCCAAACGTTTCCAGCGAGCTGGTCTGGGTTGCAGGCAAGTGCCCCTCCGCCGCCCCGGCCCACTGCTATTCAGGTCACACAGGTGCAGAACTAGTGGGGCTGTCTTTATCATCGCGCTCGGGGAATCTGGCTGCATTCACTGTTGACCCTGAATTTCGCCAGACAGGCTCAAGGCACATCCTACCCCATGGAACTCCTAGGAATTGTAACATAAAAGTTCAACACAGTTACACTTTCTCTCTTAGAAATGCTCCCCATTTCAGTCTCTTGCGGGGGTCTTGTACCCACTGAGTGGGTAAGGAAAAAAAGTTGAGTTGATGTGGAGCAGAAAGAATACCACACTCTTCCCTATCTCCTCTTGCCCAGGTCCACTCAGAAAACAGGAACATCGATTCACACAGCGCGGGAGACACAGCGCAGTGCAGAGTCAGTGTTGATTCATGGGGGGCCCCATTTGTAGCTGCCAATGTTTCCAGCATCTGTTCCTCTTGCCAACTCTGTTCAGGGCCTTCCCCGCCAGGGGATCTGCCATGTGGCAATCTGTGGTCTCCGCTTTTTTTGCTGACAGGCAGAAGAGCTCTTCCTGGACTTTTGTGCCTCAGAGCGTATGAGAGACCTATGCCCCGGTCCAGCCCATCTCTGCGCTGCGGCAGCAGCCCCAGGTCGACCCAGGTGGCCGCCTGATGCGGGCACATAGGGACATATGCTTGTTGATTTCAGTCATTATCTCAACCTGGAATGGGGTTCTTTGGATGGACATCAACATGCCCTACTTTAGTGCACCCCTCAAATGCCATAGTGATTTCCACAGGGCTATTCCCCTCTATGGTATTAGGCAGAAAGCTATGGACACTTAATAAGCCAAGTGTCCATAGCTTTCTGCCTATCCCTATGGCCAGGTTGCTGGCCTCTGCCCACTGGTCAGTAAAATCCCAAACAGTTTTTCCATCTTCGCCAGGAAAACAGCCTGCAATGCAGCCACGAAGCTGATCTATTTTTACCTTCTTTGATCAGAGTGGTGGCTTTCCAAATGGGATGTTGTCCATTTACCATGGAACTGCCATCTGCAGGCCAAGCAGGATGTCGGTCCTTGTTCGTCAGTGAAGGGCCCTTTATCAGGCAGTGTCCAGTTGACAGTGGAATCCGGCAGCTCCTGGCACAGTTCTCGAGTCAGACCTACGAGAGAAGAGGCTCCCTGCTCAGGGCTGCCTCTTCCTTGCATTCTCCAGGCAGCATGAACTGGTGTAAACCCTTCCGTTACGGAGCTCTTCTGGGCACTGCCACGCCCGTGAGAACATTTTTCCAACATCATCCGAGACAGTGTGGATATTTGGTGTTTTAATAAAGATCATTTGATGTTCTTTAGTCATCAGTGGAGCTTCAGTTAATGTCTGATGACAAGGTCATAGGTGCCCCTCAGATGGAAGTTCTCTGGGCCAAAGCCCGGCTGTCATCCGGGGAGGCACCCACAGGCCTTTGCCAGCGCCCCAGTCTGGGCTCCTCATGGCCTGTGGCTTAGAGAACTTGTCCCTAGCAGCAGCCCCATTTGCATTTCACAGTGTGAGCCCAGACGTTCTTGCTGGTGCCTGTTCAGCATGCCCAGTTAGCGCGGCCTGAAGGGTCGGTTGACCTGCCTCTGTTTGACAATGCATGTAGGGGCACTGGTCCCCAATCAGACACAGGGTCTGTCCCCACACTACGGTCAGGGAAAAGAGGCACAACCTCTTCCCACAAATCCTGTTCAAACATACCGACTTTCCTACACACTTTTTAAAAATCCTCACTCAAGCATGTTTATCAATTTTAGAGAGGAAAGGGGAGAGAGAGAGAAAGAGAGAGAGAAGTATAACATTGTTGTGAAAGAGAAACACCGATCGGTTGCCTCTGGTACGTGTCCCGACTGGGAGTCGAACCTGCAACCTTTGGGTGTATGGGACGATGCTCCAACCAACTGAGCTACCCAGCCAAGGCTTCCTGTTCACTTTTACCTTCACTCCATCAACCCTTATATTCCTAGTGGTAGCCTCCTTAGGTTGTTATCCACAGGTTTTGGTTTTATAATACAGGCAAAGGAAATGTTCCCCATATGTCATGTTAGCCATTCTCATAAAAACATTTAGGTACAGGAAACACACTTCTTCACATAAAGCCTGTAGAAACATTCTGACTTGCGTAACCTTATCAACTCTTACATTTTCAGCTTCTCTCATAAAAATCATCGCCCTCATCAGGGCCCACTGTTAGGTTTTGGCACCATGGTCCCAAGGAGCCCTGAAAACTTCTCTTTCTCACCCCCTGACCACATTTGCCCCCAAGCGGGGGCATTGGGTCTCCAGTGAGGGGCAGGGGACTCTGGCCCTTTTGTCAAATCTTTATTTATTTTATTTTAAAGATTTTATTTTTAGAGAGGGGAAGAGAGGGAGAGAAACAGTAGTGTGTGGTTGCATTTCACATGCCCCCTGCTGGGGACCTGGCCTGCAACCCAGGCAGGTGCCCTACACTGGGAATTGAACCTGTGACGCTTTGGTTCGCAGGCCACTGCTCAAACCAGTAAGCCACACCAGCCAGGGCCCTTTTGTCAGATCTTTAACTGGATTCATCTGTGATCGCTGGTCAGGTTTCTCATTGTCATCTCTGTCTTCTGGCTTGAAAATTTTTCCTAAACTGCCATAGATAGGCTGGACTTGTTTGCGGGCACTTTAAGGCCAAGGGAGGAGCAAGGGGTCCCCTTGGCCCACGTAGTCTTTGGGAGTGCTGTGTCAAAACCTCTGCTTTTATGCCCGTGGTGCTAGCGAGATGGGCAAATGCCAGGGTCTTGGCGGGGCCGGCCAGGAAGCTTCTTATCCAGGATGAGACGCCCATCTGGGCCCTGCCCTGTCAGCCAACCCTTTTGGAGAGCAGCTCCCCAGGCAAAGGGGATTGTGCTGAGAAAGGTGGGCGTGGAAACCAGACAGCGCCATTCTGCCACCCTGAAGCTGCCTAGTAACGGCAGTTTGCACTGTACTGAGGAAAATGATAACGCTCTGCTTATTGGATATGTTCACAAAGGTCATGCTGTTGGCAACATTCCTGGAGTCTGCTTTAAGGTTGTCAAAATGGCCGGTGTCTCTGTGGCCTCATAGAGGCCGTTGTCCTAAGTTTCCATGGTGAAAACACAGTGCTATTTGCTTCATTCGCCTCACTGCTTAATAACAGTTTAAATTTCTGCTCATCCCTTCCTGCTTTCCTCTCCCTTCCCCCATTCGCTTGTTAATTCAGCTAATATCATTATTAACATCCGAAAGACCCAGGAGGGGAAACAGGGAAGGCAAAATCAGTAAGGCTTCCCAAACTGTTTTATGGTTTTGCACCATTCAGGTTATGTGGGGTGTCTGCGTGAAAGGGGCCCCTTAATCACACCACTCACTGTGACCTGGGTAACAGGCATGTTCAGTGGGTGACTCTCCTGGTCATCATTAAAATCACCCCCATGTGACTTGCATGCAAAGCGTAGCTGCTACTTCATCTGGGGTGCTCCACTTGGCATAGATGGGGACACGGACCCCACAGTGGCTTTTGTCCGGCCCAGCTGGCTGGCCGCTCCCTCAGGAACAGCCTCCTGCATGTTTGGTTTGCCTACAGCCACCTGTGATTGTTCTGTAGCGAGCTGTGGGTCCTGTATCCACACAAACGTGCTCTTCCATGCCACAGCATTTAAAATCGAAGACACAGGCCCAAATTAATTGCTCTCACAATAGACTTCGGTGAAGGTTTCTTGGGAAGTTGATGACACTGGTCCATAAAATGAAAGAACCCCTTCACACTGTGCCCTCTGGTTTCAGTTGTATCTTGGTTTTGCTCTCCTATGCTGCCTGCCTTCTTCGTGCCCAGAGGTCTTAGAGGTACCTTTTGTAGTCGCTGCGTAATTTTTCCCTTGGCAGGGGCGCTTTGAGGCTAATGGCTGCAGCGCAGACTGACCCAGCTCTGAACTTGGTCTGGCCTCAAGGTCTGACCCAACACTCTCTTTTAATTTCATTTGAGCTACTGCACATAACAATGACCAAGAGACTGTGCATTTTACCATTTGCATATTAGTTTGCCTTTTCTTATGCATCCAGCAAAGCAGTTCCCTGAGTCGGCTCCATCTCTAAATTTTATTGGTAATTATACTTTCAGTGACTGATTGTAACACAGCTGCTGGTCCACACCATGGGGGACCACGTGGTCCCCCAGGAATCCAAGGCTCTTCGTCCCACACCCGTCCAGCCTTTCTCTTCACAGACCACATGTTTCTAGCAGCCGGGGCCATTCTAGCAAATCCCACCCGCTGACACCAACTCTACTGGAAGTGCCCAGTGTTCTCTTTTCGCCTTTACATTCACACAGAACACGTCACTTTTGACACTTCTGTTCACCGAATGTGCGGGGAGATATCCCCGCACTGAGCGACTCTGTGACACCAGCTGGGTGTTGTACAGTTTAGCTCATCTCTGACATTCTCTACTTGGAGACGTGTCAGATCCCATGAGACTGCCCCACTTTAGATGCCAACCACAAGTGGTAGGTCCGCAGGTTACCCACCACTTCTGTCTGACTTGGCTTCAAATTAGAGGTTCCATGACCCCACCCCCTACCCTTTGGACTTGATTTGCGAGAACGTCTCACAGAACTCAAGAAAACACTGACTTACATTTGCCAGTTCATTAAAGGACATGCTAAAGGATACAGCCAGCCAGCCAGATGGAGAGAGGCATAGGGTGAGGTCTGGGAGGGCCTGGAGCGCAGGCGTGTCTGTCTCCATGGAGTGGGCATGCATCGCCCTTCTTAGTGTGGCTGTGTTCACCAACCCGGAAGCTGTCAGAACCCCTTCCTATTGGGGTTCTATGGAGGCTTCTTCACGTAGGCGTGAGCAATTATTTCCAGCCCCTGCCCCACTCTAGAGCCATAGGTAGAGGAGGGGCTCCAAGTTTCTAATCACCACTTGGCCTTTCCGGGGACCAGCCCCCACCCAGGAGCACACCCAGAGTCCCTCATCGGGACAAAAGATGCTCAGTGCTCTTACCCCTTCGGACTCACCAGGGTGTTAGGAGCCCTGTGTCAGCGGCTGGGGAACAAAGACCAAACATGAGTATATTACGTATTTCCTACTGTAAATCAGAATATCACACTCAGGCACTGCTTTTATTACTCCATGCCTTCAAGACCCCCAAACTGTTCCAAACTGCTAAGAGAGCCTCACCACCCTGGGACTGTAGGCCTGATATTATAGGACCCTAGAACTGTGCACTCGGGGTCTAGATCATTCCAACGATTTCCTTTTACTGAAAGGGCTCCTGAGGCCCAGGGTAAGGCAGTGCTCTGCCCAGGGGTACACAGCCAAGAGCAATTAGGACTCAAGGCCTTGAATTTGGAGACCAGGCGCTATGTCTTTCTCCAAGGGATTGGCCTGATGGGGGTTCATGTGCCGCATCCCTCCAGGCTTCTCTCTTCTTGACAATACTCTCCGCCTCCCATTGTGTATTCCAGATTTCTCTACACTAGTGCCACGCTCATCATAGCCTTCATCTCTGCAGGTGAGTGTTGTCCGGTGGGCGGAAGGGACACCTACAGCTCAGGGGCATGTGGTGGATGGGGCAGGTGCAGAACTGGACTCCCGCGGTGTTTCGAAGACCCACAGGCTTTGAGCTTGAAGGAATCCTTGGAGGAATTGTTGCTGCTCTATGGAAACAGTTTAGTCTACCGAGAAATGTGAGAAATAAGGACGATGGAGGCATTGCTTCAGATGGTAGAATCCATTCAAAAGATCACACCAGCTTCCTCTGATATGTGTTGAAGTGCTCTGTCTCTTTAAAAAATGAGATGCTAATAGGAATGACGGTTGCTTTGAAAAAGGTCCTTACTTGGCAGGGTAAAAGTAGACCACCCTGTGGTAGTCAAAAGTTGTGTTTTCAAATTTTACTGGTCTACAAACATAGAAAATTCCCCAAGTCTGAGAATTCCAATATGGTTCATCACCACCTTCCCTCGTCATGCAGAGAGGAAAACTGAAGCCAGAGAGAGATTCCTGGCAAAGACTTGCCCAAGGCCACCAAGCAAGTGGTGGGGGGTGGGCCCGGGACCCCTGACCGGCCAAGGGATGCCTTCTAATATTACTCCCCTGCGTCGGGTTGCGTGGCTCAAGTTTTGGGTTGGTAACAGCACATAACTCATGCGTGTGTGTTACCTGTGCTGAAGCTGCAGGTGATGCGGGGTCATCTCCATTTGTACCCAGTTAACGCAGGCTGCAGGCCGGGTGTCTTTGTCCAAACAGATCTCATGAGATAGCCTGGCATCTCGAGCCAGCTGTTTGAAACCACTCTCCTCATTAGTCTGGCTTCATCTTTCCTAAAAGCCTGTAAATGATTTTCAAGTGGCTCCATGTGGAGGGGATGCCTGGGGATGTTTGACTCATTTGTGAATCAGTCATTTGAGCAACGGAGCCTCCTTCCTGCACAGCACAGAGCTTTTAGTTTTTGGGAAAAGTGTTGGGAGTACACTGACTCTCTTGTGAAACGAATCACAACTAACCTTTGGTGCCTTAGGAGGGATGTACCTTTTATAAAGACAGAAATGGAATGGCAAACAGTGCGAACACGCTACAGTGGGCACTTTACCTGCTTCACAAGGTGTTGAACAATCATTAACTACTTTAGAGGATATTAGGAAAAATACACATGTGCTACATTAACAAACACTGAATCACCCACCTGGCGGAAAAGTTGTGTTTTTATTTCCCTGGGAGGCCTCTGATTCCCTGAATAGAGGTCTTGATGTGGGGCTGGTGGGATTTGACCACTAAGGCTGGAGCAGGTTGCAGGCTTTGAGCCTTCTGAGGGCAAGTGTGTGCATTCACAATGTAACATATTGTTTTCCTTTCACTGTATCTATTTTTGCAGTTGCTTGCTATGCATGACAAGCCACACAGGTTTATTTCATTTAAAGTAGTGATATGAAATTTCCTTAAAAAATAATAGATTTCTTTTGGATACAAGTGAGTCAACTTAAAGAAAACATGTTAACAAATACTAGTGTCACTGAATGGGGACCCAGCCTGGAGCAGGTCTGCCTTGGGCCCGCCCTGTGTGTACCGCCCCCCGCCCCCCCTCGCCCCCCGTAGTGTGTGGGTTCTTGACTTCGTGTGGGAAAGATTACACAAGTCCAGGTGATTCTGACAGGATGTTTATTAAAGTTGGGGACCGTGAAACAAAGGAAGGATTTAGGGTGGAAGGAGCAGCAGGAGAGAACCTAGGCGATGCTCTGCTTTAGCTCCTGAGAAACATAGGAAAGAAGTGAGCAAAGGTGGGGCTGCTTTTAGCTCCCTGGAAAATCAGAGAGAAGGGGACCCTGAAGTCAGATCCAGGGGATAAGTCCAGGGATGAGCTGCCACTGCCCTCTGCTTCCTGGGTGCAAGTCTTGTGGGGACCCTTAGAGTTTAGGAGGAAGTAAAAAGTTCATGCCCGAGAAGGACCATGGATGTGCTCTAGAGAGAACCCTCACTGGCATCCTTTGTCTTGAGGGATTTTCTCTCTCTTCTGGGACTGAGAATCAGAAGGGAGGGTTTTAGCAGGCTATACATTAGCTTTCCAGGTGCGTTTTTAATATGCTGATGAATCAAAACGAGCGAGCGAGCTCGTAGGGGAGTATAGGATCGTTCTCCGGTCAGCTTCACCGCTTTACTTTCAGCTTGGGGCTGTCTGGCTCTGAGCAGGTTTTTATTATTTCTTCCCCTGATTTCATCCATCCTGGGGTTTGGCCGGCCCGAGTGGCAGGCATTGGGCCTCTGTCCCCTATCTCCCTGATCATGTTGATTTAAGCTATGTATTCTCAGGCTAGGGAGGAAATGTATAAGCATTTGTTCTCAAGTGTCCTTGGTGAGGGAAGGGAAGGTCTTGCAGTTCACTTGCTGGTTCTCAGTTGTTCAAATTGTTTGGCCTTGTTTAATGATCTTGCCTCATCTTCCCCATCCTACTTGCCCAGGAATTTTCTTCGCTCTTACTACCCTGCCTCCCTAGGACAGGTGTGGGTTATGGCCAACATGACAAAAGTGGGCAGAAGTTGGTGGTTTTGGAAAGATGAATTATTAAGCCACACCCCCTTTGGCACTTCAGTTGTTTTGCTGTTATCCAAAATGTTCCAGAACTATAGCAATGATTTTTTTTTGCACGGCACTGTTTTCAAGGGCAAGAAGTATTCTTTAGTCAACTTTAATTTCCCACTGCCGAGCAGAATGCATGGGATGAAGGAGGTGCTCCAAGTCTAAAAAGCAAAGGAAGGACCAGCCATGGCCTGTTTTCACTAAGCTCTCGCAGTGCCCCACGAGGCAGCAGGAGCTGGTGACTGAGTGGCAGACTCAGTGAAGGAGAGGCTGCGCTTCGGGGCGAGTCCAGGCCTCTCCTGCGTGGTGCCCCGGATGAGCGCGGGGCTGCTAGTGCCTTAGAGAGGGGCGGGGAGCCCTGGCTGGGCTTGGAGCCCTGCCGCTTTCTGTAGAGACTCAGGCCTGCCAGGGACCAAGGGCCCCCTTTGGTGGGGAAGAAGGTGGCTCTGGAGATCTCTGCAGGGTCCCTCAGCAGGGAACATTTGGGGGAACTCTGACCAGCATGCCGAGACCCCAATTTTGAGGGGGCTGGCGAGATTAGGAGGCCCCGGCTCCAGGGCTGAGGAATTTGGAGCAGGAGGGAGCCCGAAGGCGAGGCTCTGAGTTGGGATCGCACCGTGACCACAGCCATGTCTGTCTTTGCTTGTTGCAGACTCGGCACCACTGCTCTTCCTGGCCATGCCCATGCTCACCGTCGGGGGGATCCTGTTTCTGATCACCAACCTGCAGGTGGAGGGCTGCCCTCCTCCCAGGCACCCAGCAGGAGGCTGGGGAGGGATGGGGAGAGCAAAACGCTCTTGTCCCTCAGCTGTCTCAGATGGGGGCGGGCCCACGCCAGGGCGGTCGCTGTTGGACGGAGGGTGGTCTGGGTATGATGATGGCCTGGCACCTGCTGGGTGCACTGCAGAGAGCGCTTTCGTGAATAGACAAGTGATTCAGGCTGGTCCTGCGTTCTCCAGATTGGCAACCTCTTCGGCAAACACCGCTCGACCATCATCACCCTCTACAATGGAGCGTTTGACTCTTCCTCAGCCGTCTTTCTTATCATTAAGGTAAAAATCAGCAACGGCCAACCCTTATTGAGCACTTACATCTGCCACACACATGTCTAGTGAAATTTCTCTCCATCAGCCCTTCTGCTGCTAGGAAGGTGGCATTTGAAGTTGAAAGCAGGCCTGTCTGGCTCTAGAGCCTCAGCCTGTAACCCTGAAGCCCCTTCTTTAAACTTACATAGGACTTTAGACACAGGCCAAGGGAAGGCGTGCCTATGACGTGCTCGGGCCAGCGTTGGGCGTGGGGTGGGTCCCTTTGGAATGGGGTGTTTGCACCTGTGAGCCTCTAGTTTGCACAAGGAGGTGGGAGGCAGCTAGTGGGGAGCGTCAGGGGCATAGTCAGTCAGCATAGTGTCCTCAGGGTTCATCCCTGTTGTACCATGTGGCAGAATTTCCTTGCTTTTAAGGCTGAATGATATTCCATTGTATCTGTAACCACAGATTGTTGATCCATTCATCTGTGGATGAACACCAGGGCTGCTTCCCTGTTTTGGATGTTGTGAAAAATGCCGCTGTGAACATAGGTGTTACCTGAACTCTTTCCTCTTTTTCCTGCAGCTCCTTTATGAACAGGGCATCAGCCTCAGGGCCTCCTTCATCTTCCTGTCTTTGTGCAGTGCCTGGCATGTTGCACGTACCTTCCTCCTGATGCCCCGGGGGCACATCCCCTACCCACTGCCCCCCGACTACAGCTATGGGTAAGGACTGCGATCTGGTGTTTGTGGGGCAGAGCCCCTCAGGGGGCCTGATGTAGGAAGCAGGGGCAGGGCAGACAGGGTGATAATTGGGCAGAGGAAACCTGTGACAGAAGAGAAGGACTGCAACAAGGCTGTATCGATTAGCTATTGCTGCGTAACAAACAGCCCCCAAACTCATAGGCCCAAAGCATTAAGCACTTATTATTTTTCCCAAACTGTGGAAAAGTCAGGTGATTGGGACAGACTTGGTTGACCTTGACAGGGCTTGCACATGTCCCTGATTATCTCTCTGGTGGTCTAGCTGGGGGCTAGCTGGTCTAGGAGGGTGGGCATTTGAGGTGACAGGGATGCCAGGGTCACCTGTCTCTCATCGCCCAGCAGGCTAGCTTGGTGGAATTACATGGTGGCTTTGGGGTCTGAGAGAGTGGAGAAGTTAAGTGCCCAAGGTTCTCAAAGTTGCAGGTTGGAATTGGTTCATCCCATGTCTGCTGCATTTTCTTTGCTGAAAGAAAAAAGGGCAAGGGCAGCCCAGATCTGAGGGGTGGAGAATAGTTGCAGCTGCAGTCCCATTGCAGCAGGTGGGGACCAGGGGAGCTGAAGACACGTGACCACTCTTAGTCCATCGGCACAACTAGCCGACCGAGGGCACACATCGGCTGTCCACTTACTATTTGCAGACCCACGGGCTGTCTGGTTTCACCTCACCATCATCCTCTGAGTTAGATGTCCTTATCTCCATTTTCGAGTGGGAGATTGGGGGCTCAGAAGGGTTCAGTCTGTGCCGTGTTGCCAGCCAGGAGAGGGCAGAGCTGGGAGTTGCACCGAGGCCTGGCCTGCTCTTCCCACACTTCCCAAATGTGCTGCCTATTAGAAGCAGTAGGATTACCTGGATATCTTTGAAACACTGACAAGGCCTGGCTCCCTTGCCCAGGCTTTCTGACCTCAGCAGCGTGTGCCGTGAGCTGGGCGTCGGGGTTGGTAAAGGTGCTTGCAATGCGCCGTGACATTGGAGATCCACTCCACTGCGCCCCCCGGTCTGAACCTCAGGCTCAGCTCACGGTCCTTGGGCTGGGCTGGCGGGGCTCCTGTTTCCACAGGCTGTGCTCTAGGGATGGCCCTGGAGAGAAGAAGGAGGAAAGAGCTGAGTCCAGAAAGCTTGACCTCCAGTCCCAGGAGCTCCTGTCGCCAAAGGAAGGTGAGCCCTGCTGGGGACGGCATGTCCCCTTCAGAGCCTGGCCTTTCCTCGGGGCCGACCTGGCTCCTCACCTGCAGACCTCAGCCAGGACCCAGACTCAGGAAAGGTCAGGTGGGGAAAGGACCTGGAGCATCTTCCAGCCCCTCATTTCACAGAGTCCAGACAGGGGCAAGACTTTGGTCTCTTCTCTGTCTTCTGTCCCTCTTTTCTCTCTTTCTCATGGGATCACCTTCCCTGCCCCCTGAAGTCAGCCTTCCATCATTGGATTCCTTTCCCCCGCTGCTCAGTCGCAAGTCTGACTTATTTGTCCCCATTTCTGCACGTCCCCTGTGCCTGCCCTCTCTTGCCGTCCCATCTCCATGGTCTCCACCTTTCCCTCCTCTATCTCTGTTGGGTTTTTGGTACAAACATCACCCACCACTCCTGGCAAAGGTAGAAACAAGAACAGCATTCTGGCAAGCTCACAAAATCAAGGGAAAAGGAACTTGCCAGGCTCCGGGAAAGGTAGCACCAGGGACCCCAGTCCAAAGTCACAGCCAGTCTGCCTCTTCAGGAAGAAGAGTTGATTGGTTCTCCTTGGGTGAAGCACAGAACACTTGATTCACAGTCTCCTTGGGACCATGAGGACTAGGGCAGGGATTTCCAGAAGGAACCGGCATCCTGGGACGAAACGAAAGGGAGGGGATGTGGAGCAGCTGAAACAACAACTGTGCACCATTAACCCTTCATTCATCTCTCCCCTTCTCCTCTCCTTGTCTTTCTTTTCACCGTCCTGGCTGAGAAAAATCAGGATAAAGTATTAGTGCAAGGAGTGGTGTTAGATCCCAGCTGGGAAAGACAGATGAGATTTCAGCAGACAGAGAACACAGGGAAGGCTGGATGACAAAGGCGTAGGTTTAGGGACTTGTGAGTTGTCATCAGCTTGGAGAGGCCTCGGATGAGTGTAGGGGCCAGAATAGAAGTGAACTTGGACCTCAGGCTGTCCCACTAAGTCCTCCCATCCTTGCCTATCCCAGCCTTCCCCTTGCCTTGTCGTTCATACCCAGACCCTCCTTTCCCCAACAGAGATCCCAGGACCAGCGCAACTGGAGGAACCGCGTTCTTTCCGGAGCTATGCTTGCTCTCGGTGCTTTGCCTGGCACCTGGTGTGGCTTTCTATGATACAGTTGTGGCACTACCTCTTCATTGGCACCCTCAATTCTCTGCTCACCAACTTGGCCGGTGGGGACAGGGTGCTAGGTATGTGGCGGGGCTGGGAGGCAGCCCAGATGCATATCCCACTGGGGACTTGGGACCTCGAGGGCGTGGGGCGCTAAGATCGGCAGGGCTGTGTGCTCCAGTGGGGGTCTGCGCAAGGGTACAGGGAGGAGGGTCAGGCAGGACAAGGTGGGGAAGTCCTCTCCTGTAAGGAAGTCCTGGAAATTTATCACCCAGCCCCTCTCTGTCCTCTGCAGTCAGCAACTACACAAACGCCTTTGCCATCACTCAGTTCTTTGGAGTGCTGTGTGCACCCTGGAACGGCCTGCTCATGGACCGGCTTAAACAGAAGTACCAGAAGGAGGCAAGAAAGACAGGTGAGACCTGGGCTCCAGAGGATCAGGGAGCCAGGAGGGGAGAGGTCTTCATACAGCTCCATGCCCGCCCTCTCCTTTGTTCTTAATCTTTTTGACCTTGTATCTGTCTATCCATCCATCCATCCACCCACCTGCCCAACTAGTCATTGAGTGCCAATTAAGTGCCAGCCACAGTTCCAGATTCAACAATGGACAAGACAGACAGAACCTTGTTCTCAAGCTGTCCTTAGTCTAGAGGCTGGAGAAAGGCAAGTGTCAGTCATTGCAGTCCATGAAGCAAATCTCAGGGGGCTATGGGGACACAAAGAAGGGCATATAACCTGTTCTGGAAGAGGATGGGATTGGTGTCAGGGAAGGCTTCCTGGAGGAAGCAGCATCTGAGCTGAGAGCTGAAGGATGAGTAAAATGTGAGGAGATGAAGAGGAGAGCCCTGGGAGAGGGGCCCAGGACTGCAGTGGGGTCAAGATGGTGAAGGGAGGAGCAAAACAGTGAAGAATGTGGGGAATGTCAGAAAGTGATTCAGACTTGCCACAGAGCACAGGGCCCAGAGCGCTGGGGAGTGGTGGGAAGGGGCTGGGGAGAGAGAGGTCAGAAGGGGCAGGCAGCGCGCCGTGCCAGGGAGCTCCGGCAGGGTCCTTGGGTGTGTTGGAGGAACCGAACTCTGGGGGTGTGGGCGGGAAGGGACTACGGCAGAGAGTAACATTCGTCCTACAGTTTCACGCACACGCCTTCCCACCCCCTGGCACGGCTTCTCCTACTCCTGCTGGAGTCTTTCAAAGCAAATCTCAGACATCAAATCGTTTCCTCTGTAAATATTTCATTTCGTGTCTCTAACATATAAGGCCTCTTTTACTTAAGCATCACTAATAATATTCGCACCCCTAAAACAACCCCAGTAGTTTCTTGCTGTCATCTAATACATGGTTCTGTCCAGATTTCCCTAGTTGCTTCAAATATGTCTTTTTACAGTTGGTTTGTTCCAATTAGGGTCCACACAGTGTATTTTTGTTTGATGTGCCTCTTCTGTCTTTTAAAATCTGTGTCCCTCTCACACTTTTTTTCCCCTCTGGTTGTTTATTTGTTGAAGAAACTGGGTCTTTTGGTCTGTCAGATTTCCCAATTTCAGATTTGGCATTCTTTTTGTGTCATTGAAAAATATCTCTTTAATTGGGTATTTCCTGTAAACAGGCAGATTGGTGGCTGAGGGGACTTGGTTTAATATTTCTTGGTGAGAATGATTCAGCAGTGGAGCTGAGGGCTCAACTGGCCCCTGGTACCGGTTGTCCCTGCTTTATGATGTTAAGATTGATCAGTGGTTCAGACGCTGTCATCCTGATGGCCTGTTATAAAGTTTCCCATCAGCTGTGTGCCTAATGACCTTGACAGCCATTGATGATCAATGCCTAGATCCATTATTTTATTAGGCTTATGAAACGGTGATTTTCTACTTCTACCTTCCCTTCTGCTTTTAATAGCTAGAATTCCTCTAGAAAGAAAAACTTTTCCTCATGGTCTATTTGTTATCCTGAAATAAATGCTTGGCTTTTCCTCTATTTACATTTTATAATAATGAGGTTGCCATAGCAACCTCTAGGGTGACTACTTGTTTCTTTTTTATTTTTAAGATTTTAAAAATTTATTTATTTTTAGAGAGGGGAAGAGAGGGAGAAAGAGAGGGAGAGAAACATCAATGTGTGGTGGCCTCTTGTGCGCCCCCTACTGGGCACCTGGCCGGCAACCCAGGCATGTGCCTTACACTAGGAATTGAACCAGTGACCCTTTGGCTGGTGCTCAATCCCCTGAGCCACACCAACGAGCCAGGGCTCGTTTGTTTTTAAAAGTTTCATTTTAAATATATGTGAATGCGTTTCGATCCATTTCTATCAAAATTCTTGATGCTCAAATTGTCCTATTTTTGGCCACTGGGAACTGTCCCAATCCAGTGTCTGTGATCTTTAGATGCAATCCTAGTAGTTTTGGGCAGTGTCTTTACTCTCTAGCATAATCAGATGTTTGGGTCCATTTCAGTGGGTATGTTTCCTGCCACAGAAACCAGACATTTTTCCAGTAGCCCTGGGTCTCTTTAATGGGAAATGGTATTTAAAGAGTACGATCTGGGTACTATTGTTTCTAATTATCCAGGGTTCTTATTGCTTTTAGGCCTTGGATAGAGGTAAGACAGACATAATTTTCTGGATGAAAAAAATACATCACGAATAGCTGATATTGGTATTTTAATTTAAATTATACTTCATTGAGTTTGCATCTGTGTATCTTTTCTTCTAAAAATTGTGCTTCCTAACAATACTATCTATACACATACACTATGTATACATACTATATGCATATATAGTATTTTAAAAATATATTTTAGATATAAATACTGAGTTAGCAATATCAATACTTTTAAAATTTTAAGTTTTCAAATACAGTCAATAGTCTATTATATTAGTTTCAGGTATACATCATAATATAGGGTCTGGCACAAATAGAACCCCTTTTTATTACAAAATCATAAGCATGTAATTCTGTAACATAACAATATCACACTCAACCACACAATAGGACATTTTAGGTGAAATGTTCAAATTAAAACTATAAGTGATTACACTCATATTATTACCCTACCCACCACACTCAAGCAGGTGTTACTTCTGCCAGACCCTGTATTACTACTGTATTTTGCTGTGTATAACACACACACACAGTTTTGTGTACATTATACATGGGATTATTACACCTATGACATGTATTCATTATACCCATGTATAATGCATATCCTTACTTTTCCCTAAAAAATTTGGGCAAAAAGTGTGCATTAGACATGGCAAAATACGGTATTAATATCATTTCTGCAGGCTGTTCTTTCCTTCCTTCTTTTCTTCTTTCCTTCCTTCCTACCTTCCTTCCTTCCTCATCCCTAGGCTATTTCCCACAAGAGATGTACAGTCAGATTCCTGTGTCGCAAGTCAGCAACTTGATGTAAAATTATGTTCATTGGCTTAATTTTGTTTCTGATTTTTTGGGATTGCTTTGCTTGTTTTCTTCCTATTATTTTTATTTAAAAAACATTTACATATCAAACATATCCATTTTCCCCAAGCCAAAACTGGGAAACAAGATATATTTAAAGACATTTGGTTTCCCCCTCTCTTCCATTCCTTGTATTCCATTCCTTCCTTCTCTCTTTGGTAATTATTTTTTTTTCTTAAAGAGAGACTATATACATATAATTTCTCTCTTGCTTAGAGAGAGGACAGCACACTGCACGCCCTACTCTGCAGATACCTTTCTGTGTAACTGTCTGTTGACAGAGCATAAATGAATCAAGAGTCTTCGCTAGAATTAAATGACAAAGGTCTATTCATGGGTCTTAAGTGAGTGAATTACAATTCTGGAAACACTACGGGGCAATACCTAGAGTGTTTTAAAGAAGGAAAAAAGGTTGAGAGTTTTTCTGGCTCAAAACACGTTCTTGAGAAGAATTAGCGCCACGTTCTTCTGCGTTGGCGATCTTCCAGGCATAGAGGTGTGTGGCCACATCAACATTCTTTCCTAAGTTCTTCAGAGGATTATCTATAAGATTTATTTACCTCCAGGCATTGATGCTCCACTGAGAAATTCAGAAGTTTAAGCTTGCAGGCTGAAGTAAAATAAAAATCGTTTTCCTCGTGTTTCAGCCCACACTGACTTTCGTCAGCTGACGAAGGACTCCATTTTGTTTCTCCGCTCTTTCCTCATCCCTGTCCTGCTCCAGAGGGATCTTCCCTCCTTCCTTTTGCCACTGTCTTCTTTCCGGGTATGTGGCTGCAGCATTCCCCTCTTGGAGGCCATTGGGTGGCTCCCAGTCTCTGGCTGTCACCAGCAGAGCTCACGCTCAGGAGCACTGGGCTGGAGGCACCAGGCAGCTGCGAGCCCTGTCGGAGGCCTCTGTAGTCACCCATGAGCGACTGGATGGAGGTCTACAACCAAGACGAGTCCGTGGAAAGGGAGAGTCGTGGGTATATTTGAATGATATTCAAGAGGTGGATTATCAACATTTATTGATGGATTGAAGATGGGGCATATGGGAGAAGGAGGCTTCAGGAATGACCCCAGCTTCTGCCTGGATGGTTGCAGGCATGGTGGCTCCTCCTCTTCTCCCCATCTTCTTGCCCCCTCCCTGCGCTCCATGGTGCCCCCTCCTGGCAGCCTCTCCTCTTCTCTCTTGGACCAGGTTCTTCGGCCTCAGCTGCAGCCCTTTCCTCTGCGGTGCCTTCGCTGACCCTGACGTCTCTGCTGTGCCTGGGCTTTGCCCTCTGTGCCTCGGTCCCTGTCCTCCCCCTCCAGTACCTCACTTTCATCCTGCAAGTGATCAGCCGCTCCTTCCTCTACGGGGGCAACGCTGCCTTCCTCACCCTTGCGTAAGTGGGCTTGGGGTGCATTACACAGTAGGGGACACACTGGGGCAGAAAGACGCATGCTGGAGGTGAGAGATCAGGAGGTGAGGACATAGCTGGAGGCGGTCAGGTATGGCAGACAAGGTCCTGGAGCAGGTGTAGGGGGTGATGGCCGGAGATAGGGGCTGGCTGGCGGGCGGGATAGGGCGTTCCCGGACTCGAGCCTTCTCGTCAGCTCTCCCTCTGCCCCTGTCATCTGCCTGGTGAACCTCTAGGCACCTTGCAGGGCCCGCTTCTCTCCCAGATCCCCCAGGAAAGGGTGTTCCCTTCTTTGCACCCTTGGCCCTTGCTCCGGCCTTGCTTCCTCAGTGCACGCATCGCCTGGCGTAGGGCGAGCTGGTTATGCGTCTGTCTTTGCCTTGAGGCCCCCAGCCCCAGAGCACAGCCTTGTTTGGGTCCCTGTTGTGTTCCTGGGCGCCAGGCAAAATGTCTTCTTGGTGTTCTGGGGTTTGAAGGGTTGAGCCCAGGCTTTGGGGGAAGGGCTGCATGAAGGTGGGCGGGTGGGGGCAGGCCTAGGCTGGGGGACCCAGGGGCAGGTGGCTGGCAAAGGCCCGCGGGGCCAGGCCCCCACCTGGAGGGAGGGGCCCGAAGCTCACCGGAGCCCCCTGGTGTGCCCCCAGTTTCCCTTCGGAGCACTTTGGGAAGCTCTTTGGATTGGTGATGACCCTGTCAGCCGTTGTGTCCCTGCTCCAGTTCCCCCTCTTCACTCTCATCAAAGGTCCCCTCGAGAACGACCCATTCTACGTGAGTACCGGGGGGCGGGGCATTTAGACTGGGGCAGGTCTGGGGGACCCCAGCAGAAGGCACCGCCAAACCTGTCAGTGTCCTGACCATGGCACAGCTTTGTTAGCCTCCTTTGAAAAAGGCCAGCAAAGTGCAGGACAGGAGTTCTGAAACTCCTGTTAAAAGGACTGAACTTACAAACTGAGAATTGCTAGATCGTGACGTTGGAGGAGCCTCCCTTAATATTCAGGAGCTGGGTGTTCCCGTGTGACTTTGAGCAGGTCGTAGAATGCTCTCGAGGCCTCTGTTTCTTTGCCTGAGAAATGGGAGTGATATCCTGTCCTCACCTCGCTCCACAAGGCAGAATGAAGAATAACCGGTCATCCTTCCTCAAGGACACCATTGTGTCTGCGTGGAAAGTAGAGGATAAACCGGGCAGAACACCGGTCCCTTTGTGGGTGGTGGGTGCCATTCAGAGCCCCTGGGCTTTGCCTCACGCCTCCCTGCCCCCACAGGTGAATGTGATGCTGGTGCTTGTCACTCTCCTGACGTTCGTCCACCCCTTCCTGGTGTACCGGGAGTGCCGGCAGGAGGCAGCCCCTGCTGCAGCCACCTAGTGCAGAAGCCCTTGCTTTTTAGCCCTTTCGATGCTTTTGCTCCTCTTCCTTGGAGGATCCTGTTTCCCAGAAGGACTTTGCCAACCCAGGGTACTTGCATTAAGTAACCATTATTTTCTCTTAAAAAAAAAACAAACCAACGTATTGAACTGCCAGCCGAGAATTTTGATCAGTTGCCAAGGTGACTGACATCATATAGACCCGAAACAAAGGCACGTGGAGATCCTCCTTGGTTCTGGAGCAGGAAGCCCACAGCCTCCGAACACGTGGCCTGAAGGGAGGCGACGGGAGGTTTGGTGGTGAAGCCCGTGTGTGCCTGGCTCTGTGCTGCCGGGGTGACTTTCCAGGGGAAGGGTGAGGTCGTCATGGCCGCAGCCATGCTGCTTGGCATCCAGAGGGGGCGCCCAGCTTGCCCTCAAAGGCTCCGCCTTGGTGAAGGATAACAGGGAGTCCTGGGGAGAAAGAGGAGCAGATGGGGCAGGAGCGGGGACCCGGGGCCTGAGCCCCAGCTCTGCCGCTGGTGCTGGACGACCTTACACAGACCTTGTCTGGTCTGAGCATCAATTTTCCCATCTGTAAAAAGGGAGGGTTCTGGAGCTGAAGGTTCTTTCTAACATCTTGGAAGGCTTTGGGAACAGCGACAGGGTGAGGCCACCCAAAGAACCCCGGGGACCCGCTGGCCTGCTCGATCGAAGGATTTCTGACGAAGCCTTTTGGGCATATTTTCATCTCCAAGAAGGGGGGTGATTACTTACTCTGAGTGTTAAATAAAAAATTTCTCTGGGGGATCATTTTGAGATAAATAAAGCATCTCTGCTAAAGCAGCCACTGCTCTGCCTCTCCAGGCTTTGGAGCTGTGGGTGCGTGCGTGTGCACGTGCGCCCATGCAAGTGTGGTCCTGCCCAGTGCCCCAGCCGGGGGTGGGGTGGGGTGGGGGGCGGTGAACGCTCACGTGGAGGGGGAGGAGTCTGGCCGCACTGTTCTGGAGTGGCAGCTGAACCCAGAGGTGGGACACAAACCCCGAGACTGGGATCCACCTACCTGGTCCTGGGACAAGGGCTTGAGAGCCCCTTTCCCCAGGATTCTCGTCCTTTGCCTCCTGTTCCTCCTCACCCTACCTCCACCTCAACACTGCGCACCCCCAGCTGGAAGCACCACATGGAATCAGAAGGTCCCAGTGTGTCTCACTTCTGCCACTCAGCAGACGCCCCTCTGAATCACAATTTCCTCACCTGCGAAGTTCAGTTAATCATTTCTATCTCTGAGGGTGCAGGAGTGACTTTAAAGTAACTGCTACTGTGGAGCAGGTGGCAGAGGCACAGGGGTGTTTCTTTATTTACCCAGGGCCAGAGACAAGAGGATAAAAAAGAGGGAGGAGCTGAGGGAGCTGGAGGAGGAGAGACGGTAGCTGGGCAGGATGGGAGAACCTGGAACACGTTAGGTGCTACATTCCACTTAGGCAGGGAAGGGACTGGAAGAAGACAGGGAAAGGGAGGGGCAGTCATTCATTCCGCGAACGTTTACTGAGACCGTACAGTGGGTCAGGTGTGCTCCTAGTGCTGGGAATATGAGATGCACAGGGTCTGCGGGGGCGGGGGGGTGGGGCTCTTTCCTGAACGGCTAAATGGCGATTTCCAGGCTCATAGGATTCTGAGTCTGAAGACAGTTATGAGAATGCTATTGCATATCTTTCACCTAATCTTGCTCAAAAACGTTCCTGTTTTTGTCTTCAAGAAGGCTTCCCACTGCCCACACCAATGTCCAGATACCTGCCGGGCACTCAGGGCTCCGAGCAACGTGAGGCCACCTCCTCGCCTCCTCTCCCCGGCCCTGTTCACCTCCCACCCCAGGGGGACAGAACCCATCCCCAAGGGCCCGGGTCCCAGGCTCTGGGTCTGTGAACAGACCAGCTGCGCGGCACTGGGGGCTCGTCCCACCTCTGCCGGGGGCACCTGCCTGTCCCCAGGGCTCCTGCTCAAAATGTCATCTCCTCTTCAGGAGCCTGTCCTTGGGCTCTCCGGCAGCTCTGAGTTCCTGGCACTTGTTTACAGCCTTCTGGTGACAGGCATCTGCCTGCTCGAATGGCAACGTCTCCTCACCTGGACAGCCAGGTCCAGGAGGCGGCATCGGGTCCCGATCAGCGACGAATGCGTGCTGGCCCCCGGCATGGTCCGCTGAGGCTTGTTCGGGGACAATCGCTGGGCGACTGGGCTCTTCCTCGTCCTGGCCTCAGAGCCGCCTGGGAGGAGGGAGCAGAGCACTCGGGGCGGCGAGGTGGCGAGGGGCGGCGGGGCGGCATGGGCGAGACCGGCCCACGGTGTCTCCAGCCAACCCCGCCACTAGAGTGACCTCGCGTGGGCTCCTTCACCTCTGCATCAGTTTCCTGGTCAGGACTGGTGTAAGAATTAGAGATTAGGTCAGGTACCTACACATGGGAGGCACGCGGCAGCTCACGGCTGTCATTACAGTTAGTATAAGAAATTCCAAAAGGATGCAGAACGTCCACCCAGTGGTGACCGGAGAAATAAAATGCGGCAGGTGCATGCAGTGGAGCAGGACTCGTCAATGCAAAGGTAGTGGTGTCCTGACACAAGCTATGGCATGGATCAGCCGCGAAGACTTTAGGGTGAATGATGGAAGCCATCCCAGGAGACCACACATAGAGTGGTCGCCCTTGGCTGTGATATGTCCAGAATGGGCACCTCTCCAGAGGCAGAGAGTAGATCAGGGCCAGCCTGGGGCGGAGGGGAGCAGGAATGGCCGCTAATGGGGAGGGGCCTCATTTGGGGTGCTGAAAATTTTCTAAATTGGATAGTGGCCATGCAATTGTGAAATATACTAAAAACTATTGAGTTAAACACCTTAAATGGCTGAATTGTGTTGTATGAGCATTATATCTCAATAGAGATGTTATTGAAAAAAAAAAGAAGATACCTGGATTCCTCAAGAAAGGCAGAGAACACATGTCCATAGGCAGAGATGATGTGTGTGCAAGACGCGCAAGCGAAGGAGGCAGCCCACGGGCACAGCCTCCCATTTCTGTCTGCAGAGCCGGCCTCCCGAAACTGCTTTCACAGATGGGACCACCGCTCTGTCAAGGGAGGAGGGAGGCAACTGAGGAGTTTCACAGGTGTTGATTTCACTGTGCAACAGGCTCCCCGCGCAACCCTCCTGACCCCTACCAGCCTCGGGAGAGAGACACTGGAGCAAAGCTGTCCCCTCTGCAACTGGCCGCCAGGGGCACCCCATCACTCATGGCTGCGATGACCAACAAGGTCAGCTGCTCCCAAGAGCAAGCCCCATGATGAGTTTGACAGGCACTTTCATTTGAACAGCCCTGTGTTACGAGTGAGGAAACGGGCATCTCAGAGAGCATCACCAAGTTGCCCAGATCACACAAAGTGAGAGACAGGCTGAAATGCAGGTCCTCCGGCTCCTCATCCCCACCCACACGGCTGCCTTTCCTCTGCCTCCTCTCACTCACCTCCCTTCTCTATAGCCTGCCCCTCCCCCTGTTCTCTTTGCACTCAAATCGCAGGCAAAGATATTGCAGTGGCTTCGATGACCACAGGGACATCTGAGTCAAAACTGGAAATGACATTTTTGAAGGTCCACTGAGAACAAACACTACATTCCATGATCCTTTCACATCCACAAACCTTCTTAATCTTTACAATCATCCTACAAATTGGCTACCACCATCTCTAGGCTACACATCTACTAAAGAAGCTCGGAAAGGTTAAATGACTTGCTTGAGTTCATACAATTGGGAAGGAATGGCTTGTCTGACCCTATTCTGACTCCTCTGACTTCCTTCTTTGATCTCTCCAAAGACTCTCCACTACCCCAGGCAGCCTATCCAAGGATGCCAATGTTTTCACATTAAGAGAATCTTCAAGTGTCTGGCCTGCTTATTGCCCCTATATTCATTCTGGTTTCAAACTCTGCCTCTTGCCTCAAGGTTCAGCCCAGTCCCCCATTCTGCAGAGAGTGGGTCTCACTCACTGTCTTCGGAGGCAGCACGGTGTGATACAAATGAATGCCCAGTCCCAGGGCCAACCCCTCCACGTCACAGCAAGCTTACCTATGAACTGAGGCTAAGGACAGAACCTACCTCTAAGGAGATCGGCTCCAGGGACGTTCTCAGGACAGTGCCTGGCACACAGGCTGGGGGTGGCCTTGCCAGGAAACCAGGACTGGAGCTGTGACCCTTCTCCACAAACGGGCACTGGGGGTGGCGGCCACTCCTGCTCTGTGCTCACACAGCTTGCAGAGCCCCAGGGATTTCGCTGTGAGAATGGAGCTCAGTTTCACAAAGCTTATTTACCGTGTTGATGGAGAGGGGGAAAGCCTGTATTTTGGGATGTAAGGCCAGTCCCCTTATTTCATTACTTTTACATTTTAAACACAGTTCCTGTGGACGTGTAACACGCATGTGGTATGGCTGATGGGCCGCTCAGGGAATTTGACAGAATGAACGCACCCACGTAACCGTGCCCGGATGAGGATAAGATATTACCTGCTGACTCCCCCTCACGTCCCCTTCCTTGTCGTCGATGCCCCAGAGGGGCTTCTTCTGGATTGGAAGTCACACTTCTGTCACACACACATCCCCAGAGAAGATGTACGCGGGACAAGGCTACGTCCTCCCACCACTCAGCCGAGAGCCTGGCACCTGATACATGCTCAGCTAAGTAAACGGGACTTTTTCTTGCTCATTATTATGAAACCACATGAGGGAAGCAACGTCTTCCCTCAGCAGGACGTGAAGACGCGAGGCTGCGGGGGGACACGTCTACTGCTGCCGCCCGCGCACAGCACCCGGCGCGGGGCCGCACCCAGCACAGCGTTCCGGAACCCCACCGTCTCTGAACCCAACAGGCCGCATTGGCACAGCCACCATCGGCCTCCGTGTGATTTCTATCTCTTTCTCAACTTAACGTGCAGCCTTGAGCAAGCAGCTTCTCTGAGCTGGGCCACGCTCAGACGGTTAAAATTCTTCATGCCTCCCTCTAAGACCCTGGTCCCACCTTTAGTTCTCAGCCTTTGCAGAGTCCTAGGTGAAAAGAGCTTCGGCCACGGGCCCCTGGCTCCCGGCTCACGTCCCTGGAGGGGCGAGGGCCCAGATGCCTCCCGTCCTCCCCTGTGACTGGGAATCCGTCCTCTCCAACTGGGTTGCAGTCTTACGCCCCCAGATGCACCCAAGGGCAAGGGGGTGTGGCCGCCTCCCCACTCCGCTCGTCCCCAACAGGACCACGTCCCAGGCAGCCAGCGTTCCCACTGCAGATCCTCATGGGGAAAGAACGTGCTCGGGAGTCCCGTAGATGACTGAATGGTGGGAGAAAGCGATCCTCCTGTAAACTGCCACAGATCGAGTTGGCCATATGGCCCCTGACACGAGATCTGAGGAGGAATTGTCCAAGCAATAGCACCAGCAGCTAATACTCAGGGAGCACTGTCCCTGTGCTCAGTTTGTTTGGTGCTACGAGTCATTTCATCTTCTCAGCCATTGAAGGAGGCAAGTACCACCACCATCCGTAAAAGGCAGACAGAAAGAATGAGGCGCAGAGTGGTTCTGTGTCTGCCAGGTAAGCGTCAAAGCCTGGGTTTGAGGGGAGAGCCTGCGTCCCTACCCTCCACACCTCACTGGCCATGCGGGGCGTGAATGGCACAGGGCACTCACGGGGACCCTAGAAGTGAGGGGGGCGGGCGACGACACGGCCGGCACGAAGATGTGCTTCTCGAGATGAAAAGGGACCTGGCTCCACTCCTGGCTCTGTCC